ATAACATTGACTTATAACAATTGGTTCCCTTAAAACTAACCCATACACAAACTTGTAAACAATGTAAAAGTTTAAAGTCAATGAACCATGATAGGGAATGGGTCTAAATAATCTTCATGGAAAAGAAGACTTGCAATGCTAATGCTATTATTGACATTATTGGTGCCTCTTAACCTGATCTAATTACAAACTTTAACATGTAAACTATACAAAACAGTCAGTGTATAGACCATTCCTGATAATCTCAATAGAAATGAGATGTGCCAATGTTAATACAACTGCATACCAAAAATCTACCACTAGTGGTTCCCCTTTAACTGACCTAATCACTTAACATGTTAAGTAAGGAAAAGTTTCAAAGTAATAGACCATGACACAGGAGGCGGTGCCAAATAATCTCCACGGAAAGGATATATGCAAATGATAATACAACTGCATAACAAATATCACTGAACTACCACTATAACTTGACCTTATTACAAACTAATAAATTATTGACCTCATCAATGCCGTTTTTAACAGAATAACTAGCTATGTTTTTTTTTATTCCATCAAGGCGAGACAAAAACCCTGTCGACTCTACATTGCATGTATTGAAATGAAAATATTCTTATTTAAAAAAAAAAACACCCTTTTAATAATGCATATTCTTTATTTATCTATCATGATTAATATTAAGATTTCTTAGCGCTAAATAAGTCTTCTTGTCGCTGAATGTTTCTTATTGTCGCCAATTAGTGCGACCCTACTGCGGGGCATTTAAAACTTAAAAGGACTCCACTCAGCTCCAGACGCAAAATTTGTTGAAATCATCAATACCCGGCATAATCAAAGAATATTTTAGAGCAATTCTCTGTAATCACCAAAGAAATTCTGAATAGGCCTGACCACTCAATAGAAACTTACCTGGAAAGATTTTATGGATGGTGCGTGTGGTTGCTATGGTTACCATTATGGCTGATTTTGACCACTCAAAATCTCAGAAAAATGCCCAATATTGACATTTTCGAACTTATATAATAATAGTTTAGACAACTAATAAACATTTTCCAGATATAATATGTAAAGCAATCATATAAATTGCTTGGATTAAGCACATACTTTCAGTTTTTACATTTAACATACATTTACGAACAGAGCCATATGACACCCCTGATTCATTATTTGTCAATTTTCGGGAAAAAGTGAAATAATAATAAACTTTGGACGCATTTTTCTTTGAAAGGCCAGCATCATCTGTATCATAAACCTGGGTAGTACTAAGATAGTATTACAAAATGAGAAAAAAAATCCATGGGCAAATTATGGCAAAAAAAAAATTATTCAAAATAAAATGTCAAGAATTTCAATTTTCTATTTTTTTAAATTTTTGAAAAAGATCATCAGACACATTAAACTACATGATAAACACAAATAAATACGAGCATATTCAGCCCTTAAAGTGAAAATAACATAACAATGACATATACTGATAGTTTAAGGATGGTGACTTTTTAATTTTGGATAAATTATTCAAATTTCTCAGGGTTTATCCATCTAAACTATGGTATATATATTTTTTCCCCTCATCAGCCCTTTATCTTTCATTTATATCATGTATATGTTAGAAACATAAAAACAAGTTTAGTAAGATAGTTTGAGAACATTCTATAAATTATCTTAAAATATTATAAGACTTTAAAGATTCATGAAAATATCCATTATAACTGATGAAAATTCTAGAGAAGTTCGGTTTCCCGCTAAAATATTTTCATATCGCCTAAAATTCTCTTATTCTATTATTAATGTCATCCTCTTACTAAGTACATTAAGTATTTGAAAATAGTCATATTAGAAACCATACTTCATGTTCCTTAAATAAATATCTGTTTGGATAGTAGTTGCTACATATGGTAACCTTTATCCCACAATTACTAAAAGAACCTATTTGAAAATAACTTCCATTATTGACATTAAACTTAGCACATCATCATGATCGTGTTAACTATACAAACAAAAATCAAGGTACAAGTCAAGTAAGCCTGTAAAATGTAGACCATAGTGACCAAAGTATTCTTGAATGCTAACATATTATCATAAATATATTGATTGATCTGAAAACAATTCCAAAAATGCATACAAGTTCATCATTCTTCAAATGTTTCCCTGTTACTGAAAAATAAGCAAAACTCTGTTACAGAGAAGGGTCAAATGTGTTTTCAAATTAGTATGACCTGCAGATGAGATAATCACATGCTTGCACTTCAAATTAAGGAGAAAACCAATCCCAAGACAACTAATTTGCAGTGGCATAACTCAGAAACCTTAAACTTAGATGTGAGTCTTCCATGGAAGACGTGTGTTGCCTACCTTTTACAACTATTACGTAATTTTTTGCATATGTACATGTATGACCAGTGTCATGTGAAAATTTCAAAGTATTCGAAAAACAGGAAGTTGGTATTGCAGACACCTGAAAAGGGCAGACACAGTGCAAGTCATCATGTTAAAGCCATGTACCAAATGTCCAAGTATTCCCTAAAGAAGAATCTTGGAAAACTGTAACGGAAATTTCCATTATGTAGCACCTAAAAAACTACAAAGTCGATCGATAAACAGGAAGTAGATAAACAACGAACCTGAAAAGGGGATGCAAGTGACTATGTCAAAGCCATGTACCAAATATCTAATTATCCATCCAGTAGAAGCTGAGTAATTGGAAATGGAAAAGTGTGACGTCATCGACCATGACTAAAGTGATCCCTATATGCATGATATGTCGGTTCACATAAAATGTGCAGGCCACACAAATATGTTGTTGATGACGAGTTATTAGGTTAAAAAATAATGTTTATATATAAGTATAGAAGTAGAAAATTAAAAAAAAAATCTATTTCCAATAAAGCACATAACCCTCAAAAGTTCTTGTTACTAAAGATCAATAGTTTTAGTGATGTCTTTCTTCAAAATAGATCTTCTGTTTCCCTCATCTGCAGCACGGTAGTCATTGCTGTCTGATTTTCTGTCTTGTTGAGCAAGTCTACAAAAATAACTTCCAATCTTTTGGCCTGTTAAAAATTCGTCCTTAGAAAATCCAAGGTGACCTGACCTCATTTCTTCAGAAGCTGTGTTGGCATCAACCTTACTGCAAGTTCTTTTGCCAATTTGAAATTTCTCAATCATAAAGTCTTTCTGCTTTTGATTGAAAACTATTTTCTTCTTTATTGATTTCAAAGCCCATCCACAACACCTATTGACCAAACTGTCATCTTCACAAAACATTTTCAGCAGTCATATCTGGGCAACACAAAGGTGCATTTGATAATTTCTTAGCATATATAATTTTGCTTTTGTCAGACAATGTCTCTTTTTCTAACTGATGTTCACATTGTCCTTGCAAGATGTGCTGATCTAGCGTTTCTTTTTTTTTAAATTCACGGATGCAGTTCTCCAAAGGGCATATCAAACTTTGTTTGTGTTTTGTTGTTGTTGGTACTGGATCTACAGAAAATAAATATAAAAGTAACTAATATATACATATATATCATAGAATAAAATAAAATAGCAGCCTTATCATAATATCTACTTAATAAACGAACTTGTATAATCACATGTGGGAAATGAATTCCTGCAGAGACAATCAATGTTGACGTCAATGAAAAAGAAAATGTAGTTTCCATTTCATTAACTGATGAAAATGGTTCATTAGTCAAATTACTCTTTATACGATTTGATGAATCAAAATGGGGTTTAGAGTATCTATACTATTAAACGAGAAGACCTCATTTTGTGTGTTGCTTCTCTTCCTTCCACAATAAATTAATCATCATTCCCCTGTGTCCTATTGGTACCATGCATAGTCGCATTTGTCATCCATGAATATGATTATTCAGTTTGGGTTACTTTGGGAGAAAAACGAAAATAAAAGGCGTCCGGATATTGTTTCAGTCATCGGACGGACTTTTAAGTCATAAACAATACTTCCGTTTAGAAATGTTTAAAAATAGCACATAATTTTCAAAAATACTTGGGACAGGACAATTATTTTCACGGTTTTCTGTATACTATGATCATACATATATTATAAAAAAAAATATATATTTGCTATTTACTATCAATTCCAAGTTTACTATCCACGGCGGTCGCTGATATATTATATAAAGAGTCTCTACATGATACTACATCAGTGACTGCCGTGGATAGTAGATTAGGAATTGATAGTAAATCTGAGTAGTGAATAGCAAATTAATTTTTATTTTTAGTATATGTATCATGTGTATGTTCATAGTATAGAGAAACACAGAAAACAAGCAATAACAGACTTTGGAAAAAGAGGGGGAGGTCTAAAACAAAAAAACACGGCACCCGCAGGCTAAGACTTTTGATACCTTTCCTGAAATAAGTCAGTCATAAAATATTTTACGAAAATTCATACTATCAACAGTTTACATACTTTCAACCACGCACTTAATGCCTGCGATTGCGGGTGTGTTCTAGTATATATAATAACAATATGTTAAAATATACGTTTTTACTGTTTGTGCTGTATTTAGACCCCTCAACCAAGAAATTTGTTTTGCATGCATGATGTATAAAAATTTGCGTTCTTTATCCAACACAATCATATGTATGACTGTTGTTTTGAATTTAGACTTGCATATCATAACAATATGTACTACCAAATATCAAAGCTAACCTTCATAGGAATCTGATATTGCTATGTCAGTCCAATTACTGATGACCTTTAACTGCACAGCATTCTTAGATGGCTTAAGGGAATCACACTGCACCAATTTCCTGTAAACAATGAAGGTACATTATATAAAGTTTGTCTCTTCTCTTGTGGGACATTCATGAACACAAATAGCTCTTTTTTTTGTATCAAAATTCACAATGTCAGAGGATCATTGTTAAAGTAGTTGCTTATCAAATTTTGTAAGAGTTATGGGACTTTGACCAAGTTCATTAAATTTCAAACAGATATTTTTATATTGTTATATGTATCCATCCCATCATTGCAATTATGCAAACCATCCTGAAATACAGTAAGAACTAGATAAAATGTTGTTGAATTGAGACTTTTTATTGAATACAATTGATACATGTAGATGTCATTCATACTGATAATTGTGAAACAAGTTTAGTATATATAGAATAACCATACATTGTCTCGAAATATCAATGTTATTTGTACAAGGCTTAGAAACAGGTAGAAAGCGAGGCTGTGCCGAGCATTTCTACCTGTTTCGAGCCGAGTACAAATAACATTGATATTTTGAGACAATGTATGGTTATACTTTATATACTGCAACTCTTATAACTGTTCGTAATGAAGTATTTAGAGTAAAAACCATAATTTCTTAATTTTGAGCGGAAGACGTAAAATTTCCGCGAACCTGTATGTTTTATTGACGTCATAAATAAAACTCTACGGAAACACATTGTCAACGTCATAAACAAGGTCAGTGACTGTATATCACATATGAATATACGGTCAATGCAATTTGACTGCTCAAATAGCACAGCTGCAGTATATATTGTATTACCTTCACCAATGTTGTATGCCTGCCACATTCTCAAGCCATCATCTCCAAAATTAAAGTTGTAGAAATTGGAGACATTCTTTATTGACTCTTTATGTTTTTCTGCATCCAGATCTAAAACGGTGTCAACTACTCTTACGCTGTATGTTTTTTGTCCAAATTTCTCTAGGGCCTGAAAAAATAACAGAATAACTTTTATGTTCAGAAACTATTCCATATAATCATGTGATAATAATTTTACTCATTGAAATAGACATAATTCAGGGCCTAAACACAAAAAGTCAATCAAAAAGTCAATCATTTTACATTGAGGTAATGTTTAGTTTTATAGAATTATCCAACATTGGGTACCACAATATTAATATCTTGGTTTTATGCTCACATGACAAATGTTTGATGGCACATTAATTTACCCTTGTCTGTCTGTTTTTTTTTAGATCATCAGGATATAGATACATGGTTTGTCCGACTATCTTTTCCTTCATTGTGTATTCACTTTTTAAATAATGCTTTGAATAATACCTTTTTCATATCAAGTGCAGAAGTGACGTCTCTTCCTTCATTAATAAATCTTTTTATGACAAATTTGGCATGGGCGGCTCTTCTATCACAAGGACCTGCAAAAAAGCATAATGAATTTATTTCTACCTGCATTAATAAATATGACATATTATGAGCTTCAAATCTAGGTCACAGTGATCTAATTTCATATGAATGCAACCTTACTACTGCAAATGTTTCTGTGTATAAGTTACATTATCCAACTAATTATGAGTGCTGAGATTGTGATATGAACTAGAATGTAAATGATATGATAATAAGCACATATTACAAGTTAATTATCTCCCTTTATTATTTTTTTCTTTCATGCACACCCCATGTAGTGCTCTTCAACTGTGCAAAGTTTCATCAATACCCCACTCGTCCACATATAAATTTCATGGTTTTTTTCCCCTCCCGATATATCCCAAGCAAATTCAGGGTATAATAAAACTTCTTTATTCTCATCTACATATTACGAACCTCCTTTTGGTAAAGCTTCATTAAATACAATTGAACAGCTTAGTAGGAATCGCCCAAACCGTTTGCAAGGGTGTAGGGTTTTATTATCAAGATTATATTATGTTACCTTTCCCATTCTGGGCTTCACTAAAGTTATACGATGCCAGTGCTTTCCCAATGTCATGTCTTAGAGTTGACAATGTTAATGAACTCTTGTAACAACCTGCGTTATCACTAAATATGTGGACATTCTGTAGATTTGGAAGGATTGTCTTCAAGTCCTGAACCACAGCTGTCATTACCGCGGTAGTAACTGAAGCATCTTGAGATGTTTGTGAGCTGAAGATGTGAAGGTGGGTTAAAGTTTGCATTCTATGTTGTAGTTTTATCAAGGAGACAGACACATGCCAATTGATGCCCCGTTTGGCAAACCAGTCTAACTGACCCTCTCGATACCGTCTTGGCAAAAACTTCATTGCCCAGTCTGATGTGATAATGACATCATTTATTTCCATGTTGTCAGCTATACCCTTCCTGGCAAATTCTTGGTTCTTAGATCTAACAATGTGTTTTTCGAGATTTTTTATATCATTTACAGCCTTCTCTACCTATAAAGTACAAAAAATGTTACTTTCTTAAAATTTATGAATACAGAAGAAGTGTTACATCAAAAGTATTGTTATAACAATGTCATACTATGTTTAAATCACAGAGATTAGTCTGGCTTGTTACAGAGGAAGATATGAAGTTGTCTTAGGTTTAACCAAATATTGAGGCAACCATGGTTACAAAAGACAAAATATCTATATAAAACTTGAGATTATCATAGACTTGAGTTAAGAAAAGAATGTGTCTGAAACACACGGATGACCCTCATGGACTAACTTGAAAATAAACATACATGGAATCTGGCTGATATGTGTATTAAGGATAAAAGCATTGTAAACAAAATGGACTGTTTTGCATGTGGATTAAAAAGTTTGTTGTGAGGTCTGTTAGGAATATAAATGTCATTTATATTAGTCAAAGACCACTTGTGGTTAGATATAGAAAACAAATTCCATATTGAAATGCAACTAGAAAAATGGCCTGTTTGAATGGGAGCAAACTTGAGTTATCGTATAACAACGAAAACTGTGACTGACAGACAGACTAATTACTATATGGGGTGTCCAACACCAAGTGTCGCACGGGCCCGTATAATAACATTATGATAATTACCTTAAACATAAGAGCATCTTTATTTTCAATCTGCTTTTTCTCAGCATTTTCAAAAACTTTCTGTAATGTTTTATCTAAGTCTATACAGCTTTGACAATGCTGGCTATGAATTTGCTGACAATGAAGCTGAAATTCAATTCCTGGAATACTCAGTGCAAATCCCAAACAATGCTGTATAACATTGGTTTGCCTGGCTAAATGTATCTAAAATACAAAATGGATAATATTTAAAAAGTGTAAAAATTGTCAAAATTTGTATATACTTCCTGTTTTCAGATACTTTGAATTGTGAATTGTCATATGTTTAGCAAAACAACTGATTTATTCGTGTTTGAAAAAAGATGAATCACTGTGTATCTATTAAACTTATGATTTATTATATTAAAAAGCTGGAAACTCAATTTAAAGTACAGAAAATTTCATATTGATATGATAAAGATATCAACCAAAAACATCTAAAAACATTTTGAAAATATTTTTCAGGCACTTGAAAGAAAATATCCCCAAAACATTTTTATACCATTATTTGATGTTCATGATGTTTTTCATATGTTTCGAGAAAATATGTTTGAAAAGATAATCAAAATGTTTTAAACGCAATTGTTTTTCACATAATCATGATATTTCTTGACAATATTTTAATTATATTATGCCAATATTTTAGGAAATATATTAGAAATTTTTTTTGCGATATTTTTCCAACCATACACTTTTATATTTTTCTAACGTTTTTTTGCGATATTTCCATGACGTTCGACATAACATTTTAATAACATTTTAAAAATATTTTTGTGTTTGCTGGGAAGAACCATCAAAAACCTGAACCCGGGACTTGGACGCCATACTTTATTGTCGAACCCTTGAACCCTCTAAACCTGGACACAGGACGCGGACGTCATACCTCATTGTTGGGCCCTTCGACCCTCTAAACCTTGACACGGGACGCGGATGCCATACCTTATTGTTGGACCATTTGACCCTCTAAAGTTATAGAACCACTAATTCAAGTCCGGTCGGAAAGAACATACAAGAAAGTAGTACATATTTGAAACAAAATAGTTCCTACGCATAGCTGTATCTTTGTAAATAGGTGAAATATTTGGGTAGTTTTGGTAACAAATAAAAGCTCAGAAGTACCTGTTTTTGTACTATCAAACTTCCGGGAACCAGAAAGCTCTAATATGCAATTAAAGGTATGTTGAGTTTTTCAGCAAAAGTCAGGATAAGGTACAGTTTTGACATGAAATGACTGCCACTTTATTTGAACTTAAGACAAAGTAGCCATTAATGCTTGAAATTGCAGAATTGTACAGTTTTTAATTCTAAAAACGCATAATTATATGCGAAGTTCGTTTCTTTCAACATTTCGAAATTCTGCACTATCAATAGTACCTGTTCAGTGAGTACTTTTAAGATATTATATATTCATTATTAGATATATTTTCGATAAGTAAAAACGATCTTTGTAAGTTAGTATTTGAAGGTAAATATGATGTTTTCAAAACCGACAAAATGTTACATGATCACGATATAGTTTTTAAATCGTCAAAATTGAATTTTGAAGACTGTAAAATTAAGACACTATCTAAAATAAATGTAGACTATTTTCAATTGATGTTGAGTGATTATCCAGACAGAGAAATGTGTAAATTGTTAGAATTTGGATTTCCAATTGGTTTTCACCGAAATAAGGATTCTTTGAATTTATTACGAGATTTTAAGGATCAAAAAGAGGTATTACAAGTTAAAAATCATCGTGGGGCAGTAGAGTTTCCAAATGATATGGAGAAATATTTGGTAAAAGAACTTACTAAGGGGGCAATAATTGGCCCTTTTCATGTGAATCCGTTTGATCATGGTATTATCTTATCTCCTTTGAATACTGTTCCAAAAAAGGATTCAACGGAAAAACGAATCATTCTAGACTTAAGTTCGGCTGGTGGAACTGGGGTAAATTCATTTATAGATAAAGATGAATATTTAGGTGAACCTGTTTCTTTAACATACACAAGAGTAGATGATTTAGTTTCGTTAATAAAGAAAAAGGGAAGTGGATCTCATTTTGTCAAACGGGATCTTGCTCGGGCTTACAGACAAATACCAATTGATATTGGAGATACCTTTTTAGTAGGATATGCTTGGAATGGGAACAAATTTTTCGATATTGTGCTGTCAATGGGCTTAAGATCAGCTGCACAAATATGTCAACGTTTGACAAACGCAATTGCTTTTATTTATAGATCTTTAGGGTTTGATATCATAAAATATTTAGATGACTTTGCCGGGGTAGAAATTCCAACAATGTCTTCAAACGCCTTTTTGGAATTACAAAATGTTTTAACTTTCTGTGGAATTGAAGAGTCAGAACATAAAGCTGTGGGTCCATCAACAAGAATGGAATTTTTAGGAATTATTTGTGACTCAGTTAAAATGACTTTAGAAATTTCAGTTGAGAGATTAAAATATATAGATTTGATTTTATTGGAGTGGGTAGGAAAAGAACCCGCCTCTAAGCGTGAAATTCAATCGCTTGTTGGAAAACTAAATTTTGTCGGGTGTTGTGTTAGACCCGGAAGAGTGTTTATTTCTAGAATACTTAATTGGTTAAGATATATCTATCAAGATGTTAAAAAGAGTGAGGTGCCTGAACTTGTTAAAAAAAGACATCATATGGTGGGAAAAGTTTCTACCTTTATATAACGGTGTATCAATGATGTTAATAGAAGAATGGTCGAAACCAGATGAAATATTCTCTTCGGATGCATGCATGACAGGTTGTGGTGGCATGTTCAAAGAACATTTTTTCATGTTGAATTCCCAGATTCTATTGTAAATGAACAGCTTCATATTAATGCATTAGAAATGTTAACAGTAGTGGTATGCCTGAAATTGTGGGGAACTAAATTTAAAGGAAAGAGAATTATAATTAAATGTGATAATCAGGTTACAGTAACAGTAATAAACACTGGAAAAATCAAGGAATCAATTTTCAAATCTTGCTTGCGTGAGATCTGTTTTGTAGCCGCTATGAATAAATTTGAGTTGAAGGCAGTTCACATTGCCGGTGTTGACAATCCTTTGGCTAATATGTTGTTTCGCTGGCATTTACATAGTAATTATGCTAAAACATTTTTGAAGAGACAAAATGTATACATTTAGAAGAATTTGCAGTGCCAAATGAGTTGTTTCAGTTTATTCACGAATGGTAAATTGCATTTTCAGATAGACAAATTAGTGAACTAGAAAGGGATGTAGTTATCGACACTATCAGCCTTTGCTGTAGGAACGAAAAAGAATTTAATGGTTCAGTGGCGAGCCTTTTTGCTTTTTTGTACATTTCTTAATTTAAAGGAATGTCCTGTTTCATTAAAACAATCTGTTTGTTCATTCAATTTTTGGGTAGATCGTTCAAATCAGTAAGTTCTATGAAAAATTATGTATGTGGGGTTAAAACTATGCATTTGATGTTAGACAAACCTTTTGTTCATTTAGATGAATTTTCTGTCAAATTATTATTGAAAGGGATTACTAGAGAGAAACAGCATTTACCACATCAAAGCATTAGCTATTACTGTAGATATTTTACTAGATATTAATAGAGTTATAAATCACGACGATCCAAAGCAGTGCACTATATGGTGTTTTTTTTTATTTGCCTTTTTCTTAATGGCGCGTAAATCAAATTAAATACCCGATTCTAAAATATCATTTGACAAAGATAAACAGTTAAATAGAAATAAAGTAATTTTAGAGGGTAATATTGCTATTGTAATTTTCAATTGGTCAAAAACAATACAGATGGGTAATAGAATTTGAAGATACCGTTAGTTGAAAATACTAGATCTGCATAATGTCCATTCAGAGCGTATAGGAATATGTGTAAATTAATTCTTGCCGACGGAGATAGCCCGGCTTTTCTATTTCCTAGTAAACACGAGTTAGTTCCTGTGACTTATATAGATTTTCAGCAGTATATTTAGGAGTTTATTATTAAGATAGGTAGGAATCCACGACTATTTTCTACACAAAGCTTCCGTCGAGGGGGTGCTACGTTTGCCTTTAAATCTAAAGTGCCTGC